AGCTATAAAATGCCATGTAAGCTATGCCAAGCCAACCCTGGCTTCGTCTGTACTTACTTACGTTACGCTTATGTAAACTTCTTTGCTGAACACACGTGTCACGAGAGTTTCTCTGAGACGAACGGGGTAAACCTTACACAATGGACGTAAAAGGTGGACTTTGAAGAAGCAGGATAGGAAGAGTACTGATGCTTTTGAATGTTGGTGTTGGAGAAGTCTCCTGAGAATACCATGGAAAGCCAATGGATCATTGAACAAATCAACCCAGAGTTCTCGCTTGAGGCACAAATGTCCAGGCTCAAATTATCCTACTTCAGACATCTTATGCAAAGACCTAGCATTCTGGAGAAGGCTCTAATGCTGGGAAAGGTGGAAGGAAAGAGTAAAAGAGGACAACGAGCAGCAAGCGGGATGGACTCAATTATAGTGGTGATGAGTGTACCCTTGGGAGTCCTGAAAGAACAGGTTAGGGATAAACCATGGAACAGGTCATGGAAAAATCTATCTATGTGGTCACTAGGGGTCAAAAATGTCTTGATGGCATATATCAATCAATCAATCAATCAATCAATCAACAGTATTAATTATCCTATCCAGTTGTGTGTCATTTCCCCTTCTGATAAACATTCCTTTAACCTTAAACATCTTTAATTTAATTTTTAATTTAATTAAAATTTAATTTAATTTAATTTTTAAAAACCTTTAAACATCCTTGTCTTAAATAAAAATAATGAACAGCAGAGTGTCCAGATTTGTGTTATCCAACTAGATACTCTAATTTGAAGAGGAACCACTGATGACCATTCTGAATGTGAGTGAGCGATCTGTAGTTGTATACAAAAGTTTAGGTATTCCTCATCAAAGTGTATGTTTCAATGAATCCTTAAGTGAGCAAAAGCTGATACGACCTCAACATGGCAGAAAGTGACTTTTTTTTTTGCTTATTTGAATACACAGTATTTATGTGCAGCTCTACACATTCAGAATAAGAAAACAATGACTATGGCAGCCACAGAACTTTGTGTACACTCTTTCAGTCAAAACAAGTGTCTATTCTTGCCTTTAGATTTTTTTCCCCACTCTTCCTTTCAGAACTTCTAACTTGGGAATATTCTTAGGTATCCTTGCATAAAGAAATGTGGAGAAACATGGGAAAATTATGAGAGTTGTTTATTGATTGATTGATCATATTTGTATAGCTGCCCATCTCACAAGAGAGTGGCTCTGGACGGCGTACAACATTCAGTTAAAAAAAACCAATAAATACATATAAAACAATCATTAAAACTATAAAAAAACACACAAAACAGGAGAGAATGATATTAACCACAATAAGGGAGCTATTGCAAAATCTCCCCAGTTCCCTGGGACCCCCAGGCCTGATCACACAGCCAGGCCTTGAGGGATTAGTGGAATGTTGAGAGAGATGGGGCTAACCTCGCTTCCAGGAGGAGAAGATCCCACAAGGCAGGTGCCACAGCCTAGAAGGCTCACCTCCTGGGACCCACCAAATGTAATTAAAATTTTATTTATTTATTAAATTTATCCCTGCCCATCTCCCCCCAATGGGGGACTGTGTAATTCCCTGACAGGTGGAACCCACAGCATGCCTTCTCTGCCAGACCTGATGGGACGGGCAGATGTAATCGGGGAGAGGCGGTCCCTCAAATAACCCAGCCCCATGCCATGAAGGACTTTTCAGGTCAAAACCAGTACCTTGAACTGGACCCAGAAGCAAACTGGCAATGAATGCAGCTCACAGAGCAGGGGTGTAATGTATACCCTTCTAGGGGCACACATAACTGCCCACACCACTGCATATTGCACCAGCTGAAGCTTCCAGATACTCTTCAAGGGCAGTCCCATGTAGAACTCATTATAGAAGTCCAAATGGGAGGTGACTAGGACATGAGTGATAATGAGCAACGTCCCCCAGGAAGGGGTGCAACTGGCACACAACCTGAAGCTGTGCAAAGGCCCTCCTAGCCATGACTGCCCCCTGCTCTTCAAGCAGGAGTCATGAGTCTAGGAGGACCCCCAGATTGTGCACCAGGTCTATCTGGAGCAGTGCCACCTCATCCAGCACCAAAGATGGCATAGTCCTAGAACTGGAAGGCCCCAAAATCCAAAGCCGCTTAGTCTTGCCAGGGTTCAGTTGAAGCCTCTTGTTCCCCATCCAGACCCTCACAGCCTCCGGGCATCAGGATAAGACATTCACAGCATCGCTTAATTCACCAGGGGCAGAGATGTACAATTGGGTATCATCAGTGTACTGATTACCTCATCCCTTGGCAACAGATGAGCTCACCCAGCAGCCTCATGTAGATGTTAAATAGGAGAGGGGAAAGTACTGAACTCTGTTGCACCCCACATAGTTGAGGCTGAGGGTGGAATCTCTCCTCCCCAACTACCACCAACTGGAATTGGCCCCGGAGAAAGGAGGTGAACCAGCACAACACTGTGCCACCCACTCTCAAAGCTCTGAGCCAATCCAGAAGGATACCATGGTCAATGGTATCTAAAGCTACCATTGTTGTTAAGGGATGAAGCAAGAAGTGTTCCATTACGGGGGGACTTTCAGAAAAGATCATATAATCCTGAGATAAAGGGAAGCCTGAGAAATAAATTCAAAATAAACCTGCCTGGATTTTGTTTAGTATAAGATGGGACAAAGAGAAACTTGGATAGACTTTCAAAATTCTGTTATTCTACTTTACTACAATAAAAAGCATTTCCAGAATCTCTGCAGTGCCTGTTTCTTGACCTGACCTACCTTGAAGGGTTGACACTTTGCATGTACTCAATGCATGAGATCTGACCAGAGATTTACAATAACATTCAAGTCTAGGGAAATATTTATTTTCTTTTCACTGATGATTTGTATGTATGTTCTACCATCTTTTAAAATATCCAATCTTTTTTCAGTTTTAAACACTTCACTGTTAGATACCATTCATTCGTATCTTACCTGCACATTAAACATTAGCTACTGATATTCAGCTGAATTTATTCTTCCTCCCACTTACAGATTATTTCTTTTGGCTACCTCAGCAAGGAAGCAAAAGAGGGACATCCTCTTTCAAAAGAGACCTACAGGACTCATTCTTTCACATTAACTTGAGATGCTGGGTTGTTGTTTTATCTGGGAAGGAATGCTTCAGGTTTGCCCAGCTTGTGGGTAAATGGTTCTCTATTGCTTGCCGTGACCCTCTGGCATATCTGGCTAGTTCCTATTTTAGCCACCTTTCGGAAGGTGGTTAAAACGTGGCTTTTCATTAGGCCCATCCATACTTTGTTTTCTAGCTGATCAGCTATTTTAAAGGTTACTATGTTTAAAGGGAATTATTTTGTTGTTATTGGTTTGTATTGTTATGATTTAATTAGTGAATCACTTAGAGATGTGTAAACCGTGGTAATAAAAAAATAAATGGAAAAGAAATAATAAACATTGAGGATGAATTGGGATAGTCAATTTTGTGGAAAGCAAAAATAAAATTCTAAATGATCAGGACATTTTAGAGAAATGGGCTGAAAGTAACAGAATAAAATTTAACAGAAATAAATGCAAAGTTGTTCACTTAGGAAACAGTTAAATACACAGTTATAGGATAGCCTGGCAACAGAAGTCATTTAAAAAACCTAGGAATTATGTTGACCTCACAGAAAATATAAAATCTGACATGGCTGCAAAAAGCAAAACAAAAACCAAATTCAAAGAAGTTATTTTTCTAAATCAGATTGAATTCGTTGTTCTTACTATTCTGAATTTGTCAGATCCCACTCTGAGTCCTGTGTTCAGTTCTGGAGAAAACAGGACTGGTAATGAGGATGAACAGGAATGGGGTATATTTAACCTTAACCAAAGAGGGCTTTGGGGAGACATGAGAGCACTGAACTATCCGTGCCAACAGTTCTAAATCACCTTAGTGGCTGCTAGCATAAGCCTGGAAGTGAATGTTCTAGATTTACCATTGTGAAGCAAAAGATCCAGTGTAAGCATGGGGTATTTTCTAATACAGCACAAAAGAGGCTTTCTGTAGCTGGGGTCAGACTGCACCATGCCTCTATAACTATCCATTTGCTTAAGTCAAGTCCCTGAAAGATAAAAAGTCAAGCCACTGACAGACTTACTGCTGGCATCTGATTCCATTACCATATGCCTTTGGACCTAGAGAGAAAATTCAAGATCTACCTCTGGGTGGTAATCTGGTAGCGGGCCTCTCGGTTGCCAATGTTCCGAACAAGCAGGGTTTTCTGTGTATTGTACTTGACAGGACACATGGAGAAATTCAATTGGTCTGGGAAATCCAAAATGCCTCTGGCACCAATTGCTCGGATAGGGACAATGAATTTTTCCCTTTCAGTAATGCAGGTTACTTCGTGGAAATAATCCTGGCAGAAAGAAGAAGGTGAAAAATGAAAAGTCTTTCCAGGACCAGCATTGCCAAGCTGGAGAGGGGGTCAGGACTTTTGAATACATTCCTCCCGCTCCTTTTTTTTTTTTTTTAATTTCCCACTATTCTGCCCCCAAATGCCTGTTCAACTGCCTATTAATTCAGACCTTCTAATCTATCCTGCCTAGCAGAGATTTCCCTATTCATGCCAGTGGCTGCAACCATTTATTCCACAGCCAGTTCAACCCTAAAATATAAAGCCTTGTAGCAACTTGATCCCATGTGATCACAGGGTGCTTTGCTTGTACCAGCCACCCCAAGATCCTGCATTTTTTAGATGTAATCGCCAGGGATTAATAGATGTCTATGCCAGCAAAGCTGTAGCCTCTTTTTATCTTGTCATTCCTCACATTCCTTAATATCTACCTGTTATTTCATCATCTCATCTCTCTGCAATCAGCACCTGCTTTGAACTTCATTTGTATTTGTACTATACTGTGACTCAATCCCTTTAGCCTGGACTTGCTCTAAAACTATTAGCTGATTGTGGACTATAAGAAATCACTGGAATGATATGAGTTGTAGGAGACCGCAGCTCCATTATTTCATAAGGTCAGGGTGCCTACCCCACCATGCACCCTCTCTTTTCATGTTTTCTATCCTCCTTCCCCAGCATCAGTACTGGAATGCTTTAGATTTGAAGAGTTGCTAGTACTCTGTGTGAATTACTAGGTACCCCCAACATCCTTATTTCTTGAAAGGGCTCCTAGCAGAGGAAGGATAAAAGATTTCTGATGTTTCTTTTTTTAAAAGATGCAGGCACTGAATTTGGGAATCTAATTTTATTTTTTTACTCTCCATGGGTACACAGCAACTATTTTTCAAAATAAGGCAACAAGAGAAATGTTTAGCATTCCCTCACTGCTTGGGTGACGGTTCTAATCCAATCAATATTTTTAAAAGCTAGCTGACCAAAGGCTGCTGGGCAACAAGGGGAAGATAATTAAAATGCAGCTAGGGACTCTTTGCTACATGAATCCCTTTATTAGGGTTAATGATAACGGCAGGTTAACAACTGATAAAAATGAATTCACTCTGATGACATCTCTTTGCAAGAAACAAATACACATTTACCAGACTGTGCCCACGTATTTCACTAAACCTAATTCAAGATTGGATTAGTATGTTATGTGAACCATATACTTAAAATTTTTACTTTAAAAAAGTAGCTAAGAATAAAAGTGAGGAAAATCCACAAATTTGTTATAGCAGGAGACCAGAAATTTTTCACATGCTCAAGATTCTGATATAAAGGACTTACTAAATCAATGTGAAATCTGCCAATTCAGATTGGGGGGCAGACTGCAAAGTCCAGGGAAACTCAATCTCTGAGCAACTATCAGGAGGAGAAATGTTTATCTCTTACTCCTCAAGGAAGCTTTTTAAAGGGGAAGGAGCCTGCTCCATTTAGCTTTTGTTCTTTTGCATTCCATCTCAGCCTGGCTTCCACCAGGTAAGAAAAATACCGCAACCTGGGGGAGGATTTGAGAATAAGAATTAAATAGCCATCTAATGAAATGTGGACCTAGGTGCAAATTAGGATTTTTAAAAATTTGTATTATGGATTGATCTGAGCTGGTGTTCTTCTGTAACCTTAGTCCTGTTTTCTTCTACCTGTGTTATCTGTATGTCTGTATGTATATTCATGCCTGGATGAGTAGCTGTAAGTTAAAGCAACACGAGCCGTAAGAGTTTCTCTGTCAATTTTCACTTTAGCTCTTTAACCTTCATCTACCTAATAAACAAGGTCAATTTTCTTCTGAAGTTTGTAGTTTTATTCTGACAGGGAATTTAATCCACCACACATATCAGTGATTCTATTAGCTACAGAAGTGCAAAGATAGGGAGAGCTACCCTTTACCACCTCCTGAATAAGATACTCTGTAAAGACTAGTAGTAGTAGTGACTGTCCCCAAAATTGTGGGAGGCTGCAACAGTAAGGATTGTAGAGGAAGGGCTTAGGGGGCCAACTCACCACATTTTTGTTTGAACGTATACAGGTACATGCACCATTATAATAACACCAATTTGATGACTGTCCAAATGTAATGTGTTTCTTTGGAATTTGAAACTAAACCTATTTTTTATTTCACGTACACCATTATCAGTATGAACCATGTGAATTTCTGATGACATTCAGTGGCAAAGATATCCAAACATTCAGAAAATTTGAAAAGGGGGTGAATGCTTTTCTACAGAACTGTAAGTTGAATGCAGTGGAAATGAGCTCCTTAAATGTACAGTATATGGTAAAACAAGAATAGATCAGGTCAGAAATGAATGATAGATGAATGAATGGAATATAAAAGGGAGTTACCAGTTTGGAAGAAGTACAGGTAGTCCTCGTTTAATGACCCTAATTGGGACTGGCAACTCTGCCACTAAGCAAAGTGGTCATAACCGGGAAATCACATGACCGTAACTGTGCTTTTCGGCGGGAAAGAGAAAAGACTAGTCAGTTTTACACCTTCAGCTTTTGTTTGCCTCCTAACCACTCCCTTGCCATTTGGAAGGCTCAAGTGCCTGCTCACTGTCTTCTACACACCGAAAGCAATGCAATCATGCCACAGCCCAGGGCTGGGAGCTGTAGGGGCACTACACAAGCAGCTTAGAATACTCTCTTGGAATCTCTTCCTCTCCAATCTCTCTGCTCTGGGGGTGGATGGGGGAGAGAAAAAAAGCAAGCAAGTTCTGTAGGCAATCCCTCCTCTGCCTGACCCTTCCCCCCTTCCACTGAGCAGAGATTGGGGCAAAAGAGATTTCAAGAGAGCTGATTGCTCTTCTATACATGGAAAGCAATGTGATCATGCCAGCAGCGGGAAAGGGTCAGGCAAAGGAGAGGGTGTGGCTCCCAGCCTCTGGGCTACTGGCGTGATCGCACCGCTTTCCATGTGTAGAAGAGCAAACAGCTTAGTTTCTTGCAATAGGTACTCCCATTTTGGTGGGAGGAACCAGCGGTGCCTGCGCAGGGAAGTTGGAACTGGTGCTGGTCCCAATCGGCAGAAAGAAGTTGGAACCGGACGCTGGACGCGACTAACGCGGTGGGCAAAAAAGATCATCGATGGAAGAAAGCCGGATGAGCTGACTCCCCTGCGACCGCTGCTGGCCACGACAGAATAGGGCTGCACTGTAGTTGTACTAGAAGAGGTGTAATTGCAACCGTAATGGTTAAGGTGTACTTTGTGAGCCACCCAGAGTTCCCCATCAGGGGAGACGGGCGGAGATAAACCCTAAATGTGAAACATGAATGTAGACCCCTTCCTCTCCAATCAATCTGCTCTGCAAGGCAGGGAAACAGAAAAGCCCACAGGCCGGGCACAGGACAATCCGTGCTGACTGTAGTGGCGATCGCGTGACTGAGGGACGCTGCGAAGGTCACAAATGTGGGCACTGGTTGCAAAGCTACTTTTTCAGCACCGCTGTAACTTTCAATGGTCACTGAATTAACGGTCGGTAAGTGAGGACTACCTGTATATTGAGGCAGTTTGGGCATACAGAAAAAATAAATGAGGATCAAATCCCAAAGCAAATATGTGAAAGAAGAGTGAATAGGTTGATAGACTGAAAGGAAGAGGGAGCAAGAAAACTGGTTGGATGAAGTTCATGAGTTTCTCAAAAGGAGAGGCGAAAAATTTACAGAGCAAAAGGCAATGTATTAATTAATATACTGTATAGAAAACAAGCATGGTTTTGCAAGGATAGGAAAATACAGAGAATCTCCACAAACTCTTGATGAAATCACAACAGTCCTATGAGGTAAGTTTGAAATATCCAGCAATCTTCTTGTAATACAGATGTTTGCTGTATATACAGTGGGGCAAAAGAGTATTTAGTCAGCCACCAATTGTGCAGGTTCTCCCACTTAAAAAGATGAGAGACGCCTGTAATTTTCATCATAGGA